TATATATATATTCTAATTACTATTAAAATTTATTTATTAACACGCTTTATTTTAATTAAGAGATATAAAGTATTCATTCCGATTACGAGGGATGATTTCCGTATCGTCATTTTTCGTCACTACCTCCACGTTCCGGGAGTGAGTAATTTACGCGCCTGCTGCTTTCCTTGGACGTGGGAGCCGTTTCTCAGACTCCCTCCCCGGAATCGAACCCTGATTTCCCGTTACCCGTAAGAACCATGATATTGATAGTAACTACTATCATAACATGAAACTAAAAAGTAAAAAATAAATATAGTTTAAAAAACTAAAAAAACACGCTTTATAAATACGTGTAGATTATACTTTACATTATTTGAGCGCATACATATTTCAGTAGGTTAGACGGCAATGCGAACACGTCGCAGCGGACGGACGGCAATACTAAAAATACAAAATAACTACGTCGGTAGTTATCATACAGCTAAACTGCGGCCCCTGGAATTATTTGGATGTTCTCGTCAATAGCAAACGGTCCGTGTTTTAGGACATCTCTTCCGTTTTATTAATATATTACATTAAATAAGCTTTAACTTAAGATCATTTAGAATTATGTAAACTTTCCGTTAATATACAAAATATTATAATAACTGCTGATTTTAACAAAAACCAGCCGTTATTTGATACGAGTTTCAAGTCCTGGTCATCGGCAAAGTTAATGCCTAAAGTATTTTTAATAAAAATTTTATAATTATCCATCCAGTTTTCAAAAATTTGTTTTAATATAAAATGAAAATGAAAAATATCAGCAATGTAATTATTTGGGCATTCTTTTTATTACAGAGAATTTTTTAAAAAATATGGCGTTGGAAGCTTCAATTAGACTCATTTAGTGATCTTTTAACGTATCATACAGGAAAATATGCTAGTAGAAACAGAGTAATTGTGACTACTGAAAAAAAAAATAAACCAATAACATTACGGCTAAATATTGAAGATTGGTTTCACAGATGTCTCTGTGTATCATACTAATATACTGTTATCAACTGTTTTTCAAGGTCGTTAATTTTTTTAAATGTTTCAACTTCAATTGTTTTCCTACGTAAAAGTTTTTTTATTATTGAATTGTAAACAATGTGCTATATTTGATAATTTATTTTAGTATTTATCATTGAAGTTAAAATTTTAACCATTCGTACACCATTAATTAATTATAAATAAAAATTGAACAGTGTTTTTGGGTGTTAATAATCTTATTTTGGTTCAAATATTTAATTTTAATTTATAGTGTATTGCTACAATTAACTTGTAGTTATGTAAGATTAAAAGTATGGCCAAAGGTTTTGTTTTTTCCTATATAGTGAAATTCATTTTATTTGTATTTATTTTTACTAATTTGTAATAATGAATGAATATGTATGTATTGTTATATTAATAAGAGTTATGTTTTAACTACTATAACTAAATAATATGACATTTTAACTTTTTAGACGGAAGAAAATATTTTACCTGGTCCTAGTACAGGAATTGGAAGTATTCAAGAACCTGATGAAAAACATAATAACGTTGATGTTAAAATTGTTGAAGATTATAGGAAGTTTAGAATTACAATTGAGCCATCTATGTTTTTACTTGTACTTGGAGCCAGTTTAAGTGGTAAGTTTAAAATATATTCTGTTAAAGTGTAAGAGTACATATTATCTGAGTCTACCATATATTTTTAGTTTAGTTTAGGTTGTGATTAAAATTATTTTTTATTATAGTACATGTGACACTGTTAAGTGACAATATTATAAATTTATTGAATAACTCGGTGAAAAAAATTTACTCTCAACAGCTTAAGAAAAAGTTTGCTGTTACATTTTACCTGGGTCAATAAATTTAAATGTTTATATCTTCTTTAAAGTTAAAAATAACATATCTTTATTATTCTTTGGATCATTGTTAATTGAAAATATAAAAGCTTATTTGTTTATTAAGTTATGGTAAAACCTAGACATCAAGTGATTACTATTTTTTCTTGAGAAATCAAAAATATATATCAGTTGGTTTTCAGTTCTATAAAATATAAATAATTTCTGGAACTTATTCCAATATAGTGGAATAGGTTAATAGTTTATTTTGATGTACAAAAAATTGTACTTGATTTTTTGGTCATAGCTCTATGCTTAATTTATCTTTAATTTAATTTAATTTTAAAGCAAATAGATGTTAAAGTCTAATTATTTTATTTTTTTAGGTTTTGTGCAAACAAATTTATTTGAAGAGCGAATGTGTCTTCATAGCTCACTTGTAAAAAATGTTTCTGTGGATTGTTATCATATGACACAAGAAGAAGAAGAAATTGTTCAACCAATGGTTGCTGATTTACAAGTTATTAAAAATTATATTGAAACACTGTTACCAAGCATAATGATTTTATTTTTTGGACCATGGAGTGATAAAAATGGACGCTTGCCTTTAATGATTTCTGCAATATCAGGTAATTAATTTTTCTGAATTATTGTAGTAACTATAACATTATCAATAGATGATATTTAAAATACTTTATGACTCATTAATAATATTATTAAGTCACTACTTATGAATTATAGACAAAATATAAATAAAATTTATTTTTTAAATTTTTTCTGAAAATAATTTGTATTTTTATTTTAGCATTAAATAAGTGTTTATATATTATTAGTATGTAATTTTTTTTTTTAAGCCTTTATATTAAAATTATATTTGGTGTCACAAAAATTTTAAGCTTAGGCCTTACAATTGTAAGCATACGCCTGACATGTTTTACATACTATAGAAAACAAAAAAATAATTTACTTGATTATGAGGATTTAATTATTAAAATTACTTTTTAAACAATTATTATATTTACAGGAATATTGTTATCTAACTGTATGTTTTGTGTTATGTCAACAATGCCTGATTTACCACCTGTAATGTTTTTATTTTGTAGTATACCTGTAGCTTTAAGTGGAGGTACTAGTGCATTATATATTGCTTCTTTTTGCTATCTCGTTGACATCACTGATGTTAAAACAAGAGCTTTCAGGTAGTTAAATTTTGTAAATTTGCCCATATTTTCCAAAAACAAATAAGTTTTTCAAGAAATTAAAAACAAATTTTCAAACTTTAATAATTAAAATAAATCTAAAATAAGATTTTGATTATTCTTGATAAAATCAATTTGTCATCATCTAAATTTTTAAAAATACTTCTATCATTTTTGTGTGATAGACTATTAAAATAATCTCAAATACCATTTTTGTGACTCATTAGTTTTTGGAAGAAGTCTAAGAAATAACTATTATTTAATGAAACAATAAATAAATTATAGATTCATATGTTTAGATTAGGAGTTTTGCAATCGTTCATATCGGTGGGATTAATTTTTGGATCAATTTCTAGTCCATATTTATATAAATACTCTAGTACAATTACTTTTGCAGTGGCAACTTTAATCATTATATTATCACTCCTTTATACTTATGTTTTTCTCAAAGAAACAGTCATAATAAATGAGGTATTTTTAGTTTATTATTTGATTATTTTCTAATATATTTATACATAAAATCTTTAAAAAAATCAAGTGTATCTTAGATGTAAATATAGTAATAATAACACAAGTAAAATAATTTTTACTTGTTTTTTTATTTTTCTGTTATATTTTGGTAATTAATTCAGAAGATGTATATTTATTCTTTTATTTTTACTTTACTAAAATAACAAAATGTTTAGATAATTGTATTTTTTTAATTATCTTACAGAATTCTAACAGTAAGTTATTTGATATTAACCTGTTGAAAGACATGTTTAAATCTGTCGTGGAACAGCGAATAGGATACTTACGGAGCATTATCATTATTTCAGCAATTGTATTAACATTAAATTTGGCTATTTTGTATGGTAATAAAAAAATTTTTAATTATTCAACACTATATTTGTAAATTGTATTTATACTTAGTGGGTTTCTTAATTGAATTAGGTGAAGATTCATTGTTGTACATGTATTTACAAAGACGGTTTTCATGGACATTAAGCAATTATACATTTTTTGTAGCTTATTCAACTTTTTTGGGTGGTATGTTTTATGATGAAATTGTTTTTTTTTATCAACACTAATACAGTTTTACTTTTAGCTACTATTCCTATAATTAGTTTGTACTTTTTAAGTACTAAATTGAGAATACCCGACATGTATCTTGCTACTGCTACTACGGGTCTGAGGGTTATAGAAAAAGTAGGCTTAGCATATGCTTCAAATTGGTGGGACTTTTACATAATTAGAGTATTTGGATGTTTTATGTATACAAATGAACCATTAGTCAGATCTCAATTGTCAAAAACTTTTCCAGTCAAAGATTTAGGTAAGATAAAATTTTTTTGTTATGTTTCATAATCAAACACATATTTTTGATTTTAGGAAAAATTTTTGCATTTATTGGTGCTATTGAGGGATTTGGTACATTACTTGGTACACCGTTGTACACTGCTGTGTACAACATGACAATTCATTCTTTTTCTAATTTTATATTTTTCTTGTCGTCTTATATTGGAACATTTGTTTTGGTTTTATATATGTAAGTGTTCAATAGATATAACTTATTATTTGATGGTATCAACTGTAAGCACCTGTAATAATTAAATATGTCTATTTTTAAAAGCTTTTCCACGGAAAAAAATATAGCAAACAAGATAATTTATTATAACTCCATTAAAAATTGTTAAATTATATTTTTTAAACCTATGTATAAAGCAATTTTTACTGCATAAAATCCTAAATAAAAGTGAATTTACAAAATAAATGGACATATTTAGTTATGATATCAATACCGTTAATTAGTAGAACATTATCCTGTAAGAATCTAAAATATAAATATATTGTCCAATTCATATAGTATACATCCCTACTTTATTATTTAGAATAGGTTAACCACTACTGCGACCTTTTAATAATTTTAAAATGAAGAACTTGCTTTTTTTTATATTTAATAAAATTATAATAGTTTTATTAAATAAATTATTATTTTTATTTAAAAATCAATCCAGTAATATATCATACAATGAAATTATAATTAATAAGATTTACTACAATTTTTGAGGCCCTGAATGAAACCAAAAAAAAAGAAATATGGCCTGTGTAAGTAGAAAAATTGCTGATTCTTGATCTAAAGTATGAAAATTTAATGTAATGTAAAAACAATATTACTTTGTATTAAAACTGTTTTTTTAAGGCTACTTATGATATTTCAGGTTGGATTAATATTTCTAATAAAAAAAAGTTTTTAAAAATATTTTTCAGTTTTAAAGCCAATGTTCACATTATTTACAAAAGTTTGTAACATGTTAATGTTGTAGCTGCGAAAAAAAGATAATCAACCATAATTTTGTTACTAATTTCTAAATAGCCAAACCTAATTAGCTTTCTATTAGTTTATCATGTGCAGGTTCTATTATAAAGGCTTTTAAAACTAGTTGCTTTGAACATCACATTTTGTTGTAAACTACAATTCTATTATGTCCAAAGTTTTTATCAGTTTCCTGAACTTTCAAAATTATTTTGTACATTAAATTTTGAATGAACAAAAAAACAAACATCTACAATTTTTTAATGTTTTTTATAAGTACTTACTTCTGAAATTTTGAAGGCTGAAAGATATATGTCAATAGTAAAGTTTGATTAAGCAATCTAATATTTTTAGGTATTTTTAAATGATAAATACAACAATAGTTTCTATGTTTTGAGAAACACTGGTTAGCTCATAGTTATATTTCCCCAAATTCATTGTGTTCTATAATAAACTTATATATTTCTTCTGAAATTATTATATTTATGATAAAATCAGGTAAGCAAATTGTCTACTCGACTAATGGTGTTGAAATTACATGTACGAGTTACAGGTTAAGAGTGCAATTTAAATTTAAATTAAAAATAAAAATCATACATTAATAATTATATATTTATTAAACTTTCATTATTTTATAGACTACTAGTAATTTTACTCTCAAAAAGTGAACCAAACACTATAGATAGATTGCTCATTGTAAATGAATCAAATTGAAGTTACACAATTACATGCCTTGAAAATTACGTGATACAAATTATGTTTTACTATTATAACATTTTATAAATTAATTTAATTTATTAACTCCTCAATAATTGTTATTTAATCATTGAAATATTTTATGTATCTTTTATATTAAATTATTTATTAAATTTCTTTGTTATCAAATTTTATCTGGTTATAGTCACTTATTTTATCATTTAATTTTATAAATATCTTATTGATCATATTAGTTTAAAAAACACAATGATTACAAACTTACAATGGTAGTAATTTTTATCATTGGTTTACACACTTTGATGTGAATTAGTGAATATTGATAAATAAAAATATTCAGGATTCTTTTTATGCTGTTTAATAAGGTAAAATTATTTTTGAAATATTAAATTCCACAAAGAAATTTTTAGAAATAAAATAAAAATTTATTTGTTTAAATAATATATTTCTGTATTTTTGGTTTTTTATTTAACTATAATTAACATGCGGTAACAAAACACTTTTCATTTAAAAAAATAAACATATATTAACTATGAGATAACAAAGAATAAATAAAACAAATACAAGTTAATAAATCTAAACAGTTGTTCGCAGGCGCTAAAAAAAAACCATAAAATAAAAGTAAGTGAAATAATTGAAATTGCTCACAATAATATTTATATATTTCTTCTTTATAAACCGCCGCCACTTCTTTCCACAGATATTTTGTTTTGAGTATTATGTGCTTGTTCTTCTAATGCTGCCATTGTGGCAAAACGAGAATATGTTATATGGCCAGATTTAATAGCTGACATCATCTAATATTAAAAATAAAATTTATACAAATACTCATTAATAAAATCAATAATCAAATTAAGACTATCAATATTATTCAATAATTTTTATAATGAATAAAATCTTAGTTATAAAAAATAAAAGCAAAGTAAATGGGAACAAAAATCAGTTTCATTACATTTCTATTAATTTATCAATATTTAATTTCATTTAAGAAAAGGTAATATAAACAAGCCAAATTGTAAAATATTGTACATTTTTTTTTTCTAGATAAAAGGTTGAAGTAAAAAGTGTGCTAACCTTTTATATTATATATTTTTTATTTTCTCTAGATACTAGAGCTATCATAGGCTAGGGACACTAGTTCAACATGAAATGGATTACTCCAAATTTAGGTTAAGTTTTCAGATTATTTTAAAATAATAAATATAGAAATTTTAATTTAAAGTTGAATTGCCTCATAAAAATAAAAACCACAAATTTTTTATGGTATTGTGGGTATATCTTACAACACACAATTATTTAAATGGCGGTAGACTTTTATTAAACAAAATTATAACACTAAAATAGACGTATAAACACTAAAAGAAAATATATGTATANTATTAAGTTTTTTAATTTTTAAAACGTTTATAATAATAAAAACTAAATTATTAAAAAATTAAGAATACAAGCCACTCAACTTTTCTAAAAATTGCATTAACCTAAAAAGATGTAATTTATTGATATGACTTGTTGTTTGAGTTTTATAAAACATTTTTATTAATAATTATAAGATATTGCAAATAAGCATAAATAAAATTTTTTTTTTAATAAAATTTTACCTGTAAATACTCATCAAGTTCAACCTGACCATTCATGTTAGTATCTATTTCTTTTAAAATTTCATGTAGCTCTTTTCCACTAACTTCTTCTCCGGCATTCTAATAATTAACAATAGTTTTTTGAAAATTTTTAAAATAAAATAAGAAAAAATTACAGACCCTCATGCTCCTACGAATATCATTGATTGATACATAGCCTTTGCGATCACTATCCAGTAACTGAAATCTTTTCATATACATCTTGATTTCATCTTTTGATAAGGTGATAGGAATTTTATCTCGAGAAGCCCGGTTTACACTCATACCCATTTCAGTAGCTAAAAAGTCACTAGCAGCTTTGAGTTGTTTCTAAATTTAAACCGAAGTATTTAAAATTAAATACATCACTGTTTATTAACACTATTAATGAAAATTATAAAAAAAAAAATGGATATCCCAGACTCCCAAATTTAATTACAGAGCTAGTTTTAGTTCAAAGATAATGTATTTATTTATTATACCTGTTTCTCATCCTCACTCCAGTTTAATTCTTCAGCCATGATGTTTACAATAGTTGGAAGTGCTTCTTGACATGCTTGCACATTTAAAAATGCCAAACGTAAACGCCTAGCTATCATATCCACTGCTGTCATTGCATACTCTCTAACACCATAACGAATCTAGAAGTAAAAAATTAATACTGAAAAAGATAGTAAAAAGATGTAAAACTATATAAATTACTTCAGCATCAATGTAAGGGAAATCAGGATGGATTTTTTTACCAATGATTGGCCATCGTTGTCCAGTAATATGAGCTAGTTTAGCTACAGCAAACGCTCTATCCCCATATGAAGTGGCTAAATGTTGAGCAACTTCGCATTCTAATCCAAAGTCTTGTACCAATCTTATATACATGGTTGGAGTCCAACCATGAGACCCTTCCAATTTAAGGCCATCAGTTTGGCAATCTGGTTTTGTTGGATTCAACTCAGGAATTGCTGCAAATAATTTAATTAAAAATAGTTGTCTAATAATAATTTATTAAAAATTAAAATTAATTACCTTTAATAGCAGCATCTAATGTTTCTTGGGCCATAGATCTGTATGTAGTCCATTTACCTCCAGCAATTGTTACTAGGTTTGATTTACTAACATGTACAATGTGGTTACGAGCTAATGATTGCGTATCTTCTTTGTTGGGATCTGATACTAGGGGACGAATACCACTCCAAGCACTCAAAACATCTCCTCTCCGTACTATAGGGAAGTAATAAAAATAGAATTATTAAAATATTTAATTCAAATTTAAATACCTTCAACATCAGAATTAAGATAATTTTTTATTTCATTTAAGATAAAGGATATTTCTTCCTCTGTGGGAGTTGGATGATAGGTTACGTTACATGGACTATCTGTAGTTCCTGACAATGTATGTTTTTGCCAAGGTAAGAAGAAAATAACTCGACCATCAGATGTTTCAGGATCAAGTAATCCCATTTGTTCTGGACTAGAATAAATAAAATAATTGGCTACTTTCTTGATATTTAGTTTTTTAATAGTTTACCTATAATATCCAGGTAACACAATATGAACTCCTTTGCTAGGAGTACATATTTGTTGAACATTTTTGTCATCCATTTTACGTACAGAATCTGTAAAAGGTCCAGCAGCATTAATGACACATTTTGCTTTTACATCCCACTCCTTTCCTGTAAGTTCATCTCTGAGATGTGCTCCACATATTTTTCCATTAGAATCTTTTAAAAGACTCATAGCTTTCACATGGTTTGCTACTGTAGCACCATATCTGGTAGCTGTTAGTGCGAGGGCAAGACACATTCTAGCATCATCTTGTTGGCCTGAATTTTAATTGTAAAACAAAAAATTCAATAAAAAGTTTACATTTAAAAAAAATAATTTTCACATCTTATATTGATTAAATCATCAACAGTTAACAATTTTATGACACCATTAAACAGTTTAATATAATCCAACCATCTTAAAATAAAAACTTTTATCTCTTAGAGAAATTTTTCATTCTCTTTGTAATTTTTCTATGGACACATTAAGGAAAATATTATTCATAATTTTAAGATTTGAGTAACAAGAAAAAAACATTTTCTAGTTGATATGTGTGATTTTATTTAATCCTATTTAACTAAAATATTTTGGGCAAAAATCACACAAATTTCTAAACTTAATTTTAAAAATGTACAAAGGCATTAGGAACAATAGTCTTTTTTTTATCAAAATTTAATATCTGTTAATTACCATCATGGTATACAATTGCACCAACAAGTTTATTTTTTTTAAGCATAGGAAAAATTTCTAAAGCTTCATTTTTAGATAGGTAGTAAGAACTCTTGACATTTTTGAAACCAGCAACAAAATCATAGGCTTTGATACCAACCCAGTAATAAGGAACTTTCCACCACCTATAAGATGAAAATATTTATTATAAATTAATTAACGAATAATTTATATTTAATGTTCTCTTTAAAAGCTATTGCTTGTGCTAGAGAAGATGGGAAAGCTCAGTGAAATGGAATCAAACCACAATACCTATTTACTAAGCTCCAACGCGTTACCAATTGAATGTCTATTTGTAGGTACTACCTACAAATATAAATATATATATATATATATAAATATACACTGTAACTTACTCGTAAACAGGCAACATAATAGGTATAGCATGAGTTAGGTGAGGAGCAGTTTGAAGCATAGTAGATCGCTCATGTAGGGCTTCTTTAACCATTTTGTATTGTTCATAGTCTAAATTTAAAATAGCTTTTTGCAAATACCGTACTCCACCATGAATTAGTTTAGTACTTCGACTAGATGTACCAGATGCAAAATCATCCAATTCTACAAGTGCAGTTTTTAAACCTAGCAATTAAAATTTTTTTTTAATACTAATTTACTACATTTGAAAATTATGTATTTTAGTAATTCAATATTTGAATAAAAATTGAAAATGAAAATCCATCACTCACCTCTAGTAACAGAGTCTATAGCACAACCAGCACCAGTTGCACCTCCGCCAATTATAAGCACATCAAAATTTTCTGATTGTAATGATTCTATTTGTGTATTTCTGGGAGGTAATGTTCTCTTTCTTCCAGTTTTTTTAATAACTTCTGCTTGGACTGTTTGAAGTTTCTATAATTGAAGTTTTTATAAATTATGTATTATGTCTTTGATAATTGGTTGAAAAACAATTTAAAATTAAATCAAACATACTGTTGGATTTTCTCCAGTTAAAATCCAAGTGGTGAAATAGGTTCCAGCACCAACTGATGCTCCGCCTACCATTAATTTATAAATTTTAGAAGCCATTGTTTCACACTCTGAAACATTTCAAATAATGAATAAGTGATAACAAAGATTTATTAAAAATAATACATTAAAAAGATTCATTTAGTCTCTAAATGCATTGAATTCTTTTTTTGCATTTCTTTATAATACTAGTGAATTACATTTTTTTATTTATTATGTGTATTTTATCTTGAAAAGATAATTTAGATTAATTTTGTTTTAAATACTATGATGATTACTATTTTAAATAATTAAAAAAAATTGATTTTGAGCATTTCATTTATTTTGAGTATAATATCTAACTAATTAAAAAGTACTGGGTAATTTAGAGTACGAGTTATTCGATTACTGAAAAACCAAATATCTAATGAATAATATTATCCTAAGGCTAAAAAGCTTTTTTTGTCAGATAAAAAGTGCTGAAAAACTAAGCCATAGAGAATAAAAATAATTACATGTGTTATTTCTGTAAATATAAATTTTCCTGAATTTTGATATTGATAATTTTTATAATGACATAAATAATCTTTAATTAAGAAAATATTTGTAAAATCATTAAACAATAAAATATAGAGATTTATCTTGTACGTAATAATTGATAAAATAAATGCAAACATTATAATTAAGCAGAATAGATTAGTTAGGGACAATGAGTTATGAAGGTTGGAAAAAATATATTGTGAAGATGTACATACTTAGATAGTTCTCAGTTCAACAGCAGTTATAACTTGATTTATTTATAAATTGGGCGCGACACGAATGACAAATTAGTTCAGGTCGTTTTTTCTATCAGCTGCACAATACATAAATCAAGAAAAGAAAAGAAATAAGGTTTTTACAAAAAGTGTATTGTTGTCTAGGTATGGCTGTAACTAATATTACTACCGACGCTGAAAAAAATAAAAGTGAATGGTATTTTTCGTTGTAAAAAAAAATTAAGGACGACGTGGTTTTGACAAATGAGCCGGCGCACAGGTTACTCTCGTTTGACGATGTTGAGTTAAATATTTATAAGATTTAAGAGAGGATATTGATGTTAGTCTGCATAATGTGTATACAAGTGTAAAATCGAACCAAAAATAATTAATTAAATAAATATTTAATTATAAAAAGTAGGCATCTGTGCCAAATAAGATTTTTAGTTTTACGATGGCTTGTAATGATACACTATTATATATATATATATATACAAAAAAAAAATTACCTACTAGCTTAGCGAGTATGAGAAGTGGAAACTGGGCGGTGGAAGATAGTGTTTTACTGTAATATATATACGCGCATACTTTGGGCAGGTTGACTTTGCGAAAATACGGCCTTGGCGACCGCAGCCCCCGCGCATAATTTTGTTTGCACGTGATGTACGCATGATCCGTTCTGTAAAGGATTATCTAGATTATTTTCATCACTGATAACAGATAAGATAAACAAAAAAAAAATGATAAGATTTTATCTTATCTGCGACATTACATTCTCTTTGCTTAATCACAATTTGGTATCTTAACTTAAAATGATTTCGTTTATTAATTATATAAGTAACTCTTGTAACTATTCAGATTTTTTAAAAATAAATTTTGAATTTTTAAAGTGACAAGCTAAATATTTTTATTATTGAATTAAAAAATTTTGAATGCTTCCAATATTTACAACTCGGTCTCAACGGTTTATAAAAGGTTCGATCTTTGAATACAAAAGTGGCAGAGGTTGTAGTCGCATTTCAAAAATGTTCCTGCCACATATACCTCCAGTTAGCAATGTTTCGTCAAGGGTTTTGCGTGTACTTGGGTGTAATCCTAGTTTGTATACGTTGCAAGGTTCTAACACTTACATAGTTGGTACTGGTCATAGGTATGTTGTGTAGTTAATTATCATTACATTATTCTATTTTAGATATAAAGTACTGATGAAACTAGTACAAGATAATATACATTTCTAAAGTTTAATAGTGTGGTCTAATTTTAAGTAGTATTATTATAAAGAAGTATTTTGTAATGTTTGAATATATTGATTCTTGAGTAAAAATTGGTTAATGAAAAAATAAAGTATCAAATGTTGAAATTGAAAAAATATAAAGAATATCAGAATGTTGTTGCATTAAACTATCAAATTAGCTATATTTTAATATGAATGTTAAATTGTAATTGTTAGTACAGTAATGTGTTAGATCAATTTTTTTAATTTTTCAAAAGCAAAAAAACTGGAGACTATCAAAATGTTTTATTTTCATTATGGATTGATGAAAATTTCTGTTTTTTAGTTAAAAATGACGTAACTTTTTCTAAACAAAATTTTATTACTGCATAGTTCTTATAAAAATTTGATGTTATGTTATTTTACAAATACCTTTAATTTCACTATTATTATTTTATACGCCCAAGAGAATTATTTATAGTGATTAATAGAACTTAAAATACTTTATTTTGATGAATCCTAATTAAAATTTTTTTTTACATTTTGTTTTCCTATAGGAACTGTCAAGTGGACGTAATTTTCCTTTAATTTCTTTAAAGCTATGTAGTTAATTATGATCAGAGTTGTATTAAGAGGAGAAGGTTAGTTTTAACCGATTTTAATAGCCTAAAATATACAGTATTTTATTTTATTTTATCATATAATTAAAAAAGTAATAAAATTTAAACTAAATTAATGATAATTGTTTTGGAAAGCTTATAATTTCTTTTTTTTTTTTATTGTAATTAATATCTATATTATTATTATCAGTTATATATTAAGGGTTTCAACGCTTCTGGACAGTTTGTATTTGATATTATCTCAAAAATTTTTTGTTGAGCAAAAAAAAAAATTTTTTTTTGTGTACCTTAAAAAATTTAATTTTCTTCTAAAAAAATGATCAACCACATAGCCTTCCTTTTAATCCAGCTCTCATTGGTGGAAATTCATGTCGAAGCATTTATGATAGGGAATGTTATCATTGTCAGTATTAAATTTTTCTAATGTCCATTTTTCTAGGTTCATTTGAATTGATTTTTTATTGTTATTTGATTTTATTTGAAGAGTATTAACCTAAATTTTTTTTTTTTGTTTTATTAAATTGATTGTTTATACTTCAAACTATTTTTATTAATTGTTATTCTATTACATTTTTAATAAATTTATTATCCATGTAAAAAAATTACGAAATGTTGCGTAAACATAGATATGAATAAATATTAGATAAAATAAATTATGAAATACCCTAGACCAATTATCAGTTTTTTATGATAAAAATAAAAACGAACTTAAAAATCATTATGATTTCATTTTAAATACATTTATGTAGTTAATTATGAATTTATTCTTAATAAATATTTCACAGATATACTTCATGCTTTACGAATAAATAACTCAGATTTGAAAGAGTTATGTAATTTTATAAATTTTAGCTTCGATGCAAAGCTGAGAAGGTATTAGTTTTACCATTATGTGTTCTATTTTTATGTCTGTCATTAATTTTTTTTAGCTATCAATGGGTCAATTCTTTTTTCAACGATAAGTATAAATGATAACAGATTGTATCTAGTTGAAAATACCACATTCACTGTAAATGGGATAAATCCATTAAAAAATTACAATTTTTAAAATGTAAATTTCGACATTTTTAAAAAAAATTTACTTCGAAAAATCGATGAAACAATTTTTAGTTTCTATGCGAAGCTGAGAAGGTATTAATTTTACCATAATGTGTGTGTTTTTTTATTTTTTGTGTCTGTTGCCACTATTTCTCAGCTCTCACTGGACCGATTTTGATGAACAATATGTCAAAAGATCACAAATCGTATCTAGTTGAAGACATTACCCTTAAAAATTAAAAAAATTTCCTTCGTTCCCCGTAAATGGGGGAAATCTCGAAAAAAATTACAAATTTAAAAAACGCTAATTTTCGAAATTTTTGAAATTTTTTATACTTAAAATAGTCATAACTTTTTTAAAAATAACCGAATCAATATAATTTTTTTTTTTATAGATTTTTTATGTTTTTACCTATCATTTGGTATATTTTACTATAAATCTGACCCTTTATCTGCTCACAAAGAGGAATCAAAATGACATCTTTTTCACAAAAAATTAATTTTTTTAACTAAACTTTTGAAAGTGTTTCGGAAATACTGACAATTTTTGATATATATCTAAAATTAAAGCTAATATAATATACTTTATTATGAAAAAAAAAATTTCGGACTTTATTTTGTCTTCATGGTGAAATGGCTACCGTATGCTATTTTTGTGTTAAAATTCTTGATTTTATATTTTACATTTTTAACTTTATATTTCTATATCTTTTCAAAAAATGTATGGATCATTACAATTATTTTATGAGAAATAATATATTTATCCCTTTTTAATTTGACTTATTTTATCTTAATCAGGATATAAATAAGGAAATAGCAGATCATGTAGCTTTTGGAATAATCCACCAATTTATTAAAATTAAACACTATCTAAAGATTTGCATCGAAGCATTTTTTATGATAGTGATTTTAATCACTGTCAGATATCATTATACTTGATCCACCTATGCCACGTCACCACTGTGCCGCGACCCCACTGTGCTGTGTTTTTTTTTTATCCTGGATGTTAATAGCTTTTATTACTTTAACTTAATTAAATAAAACATTATACTCTTTTTGTATTAAATATTTTTATTTAAAGTAATATATTAAAAATAATAATAAATACGGCGGATTAAAAATCTATTTAATTGTTTATATTGAAACATTCAATTTTTTGGAAAATCTGTCTCTAAACTGTAAGCAGGGGAAATTCAAAAAACTAATTTTTGCACACAAGTTAAGCTTTTTCAATTTTTGAAAATGTTCCGTAAATATTGAAACTATTATTTTGGTAACAAAAAAAATGATTTTTAGTTTTACCTAAATTTAATAATCGATTTTTACAATTATAATCAAAATTTATAATTATCTCAATTGAGTAGATTTTTGTAACAACTTTTTGATTGAGTTTTTTAGTTAAAGTAAATCATTAAAATTAATTCCGTTCACTGTATATTTCAATTATAGAATCTTTTTAAAACGTGTTTTATTACGATAAAAATTCAAAAAAAAAATAGAGCTTTTTTGATAAATTTACTGTAAATAGTAATTATAAAACTGCTGACTGCATATTAATCTTAACAATTTCATTATTTTCTATTTAGTGATGTCAATTTCAAACTTGTATGTTGAGCTAAAAGTTTTGCTAGTAAATTCATTTTTTTTTTCTATTATAAACTTTCACTTTACAAAAAAAAGTAGGTTAAAAATGATTAATTTTAACACATTAAAAATCGAAATCAATAATAATTTGAAAACAATTAATTATAAAAATTATATAATATATAATTAAAAAATTATGTATTATATTTTCGAATCTAAGAATTACTAATCTGGATATAATTAAGGAAATAGAAGCCGATGTTACTTTTGTAATTATCTACCAATTTCTTAGAGTTAAACACTATTAACAGATTTGCATCGAAGCGTTTCTTATGATAGTGATTTTAATCACTGTCAGATTAAATCTATACTGGACCCGACTATGACATGTCGCCACTGTGCCGCGACCCTATTGTGCTGGGTTTTTTATAAATACTTTTTATATCCGACATCGTTCTTTCAAAATTCTGAATCCTTTCCCTTATACATATAGCGTTTAAAATTTAAAACATGCGAATAAAAAGTAGAACTTTTGAAAATGAAATCCTAATAGCTTTAAATATATCTTTAATTAAAGCTTATGTAATATAATTTATTTTGAAAAAAAAAAATTTTGTCCTCTGGACTTGTCTTTTCGGTAAAATGAGATATCAATTATATTTAGTCAATTTTAAGGATCGAGTGTCTAGACCGCTCCTGTTAATTTTCACTAATTTCCGATTAACATTACGGATGTGTTCCAACATTGTCCGTGATGTTTTTATATTTTTTAATTTTGTTTAAATATTTTATTTTATTTTTGTTGCCTTTCTTTGTAGACATGGTTTTTGATACATTCGTAATTTTGTCCATGTTTTACTTAATTTTCTTATTTAACAATTAAATTAAATTTCCTCATTAATTTTAACTGTAATATTTATTTTATTGTGTGAGTAACTTAAGTACTCGCGTATATTTTATCCCTGTTCCTTAATTTAGACACGGGCGGCTATGGTATGTTTTACATATCAAACACTTACAACTTAAATTATCATAGTTCTGGTTAATACACCACAGTATGTTAAAATCATTTATATTATAACGGCATTTTAACTTAAATATCTGATAGGTCTGACACCTCGCCTAAGTGGTGACGACCCTTGCTACTATAGTTAGTCGTTATGGAAGCGGCAAACCATGTTGTTGTTGCAGGCTGATAAAAAGCCTACTTGCAGTGTTTTTAAAAAAATACTGTTAACTGCATTCGCATATTACAATAGGGGGGTTACGGGACCAATTCTCCCTAATTTTTTATTCGAAAATATTTATTTTGACTTTTAACATCAATAACTTTATGAAAAATATTTTCAAAAAGAATTTTTTATTTTTTAAATTTTGTAGGTTTTCCAAAGTTATGAAAAAAATGTTGGAGCACCACAAATATTATTTTCTCCGAAATATTCAATATAAAATTATCTTTGTGCACATTTTTTTCAATTTCTATTTTACACCATTATTACTTTTTTAAATAAAATAACTAGGCAATTTTTTTTATTTTAAATGACCTTACTAGGGGAAGCCGTCAATTTTTATAAAAATTATATGATATGAATCTAACTGACATGGAATATAAAGTTAAACTAATTTAAAATTTTTTGTTTTTTTAAGTCTATTAATGAGATGTACGGTTGCCGCGTCAGCAACACTTATGCCTTTCATGCTCGTGGTATATTGTTAAAAACTCGCTCGTCCATATAATATTTTGCATTTTTTTCTTAATTCTGTTTGAGTTGAATAGAAGTTGGATTTTTATCTCATTTAGAAAGAATAATTTCAATGAATATCAAGGTCCCTATTACTGTAGTCTTCTTTTATGAGAAGGAATTTCTTATTACTATGTGGTTTTTTTTGTATCTATCATTCATATTAACCTTAAAAATTGAAAAAAAAATTCCAATTTAACAATGGATTTTTACAATTATGATCAACTTTATAATAAGCTCATTTAAGTAGGTTTTTTTAATAACTTTTTGATTGGATTTTCTAGTTTCGATAAAAAACTTAGAAGGTTATCGGTTTTTTTATATCCATTAAAAATCTCAGCTCTTATATTTACCAAAAATTGGATAAAAACAACTAATTTTTGAAATTTGGACAAATGTCTCTAAATTACGCAACTGCCAATAATAGAATTTTTAAAAAAACTTTTTTTAAATTAAATATCTCTACAAATAATGGGAGTATAGAATTCGCTTTTATACTGAATTACGTTGTAAAATAATATCATCTAACTTTTTTAATCATCATAGCCAAAAATACTTTGCTAAATTGAATTCTTGGGCCGATTTGAAATCTGCAATTACAATTAGTATCTAGTAAAAGATATTACCCTCAAAAATTGAAAAAAATCCCTTAATCAAATAAAAAGTACCTTAAACAGCTTTATCCATATAAACAATAAAATGATTCATTTTTAATGTATTTATTGTCGAATTAGGTTTGATACGATAATAAGTTTCAACTACAAAGTTAAATAATTTTACTTTGTTATTTATTAATTTCTTAACAATAGATTGTAATCAATTTTATAATATGCTCAATCCAGTAGATTTTTGTAACAACTTTTTGATTGTTTTTTTTAGTTAAAGTGAATCATTAAAATTAATTAATTTCGGAATATTTCAAATGTAGATTCTTATTAAACAAGAGTTACATATAAATGATCATTATGATTTCTATTGAAATGATTTATTACAATAAAAATGCAAAACAAATAGTGATTTTAACGAAATTTTAACTTTTTTCGTATAATTACTATAAATAGTATTTATAAAATTTCCTTTTTAAAATCTAAAAACTACTAATCAATTCGATTACTTATATCAATACTATAGATCAAACAGTATAGTCATATAAGAGTAAGTGAAGGTTAAGTACCCCAATTTACCCCCCTTTTTTAAACAAAAAAATACTAATAAATAAGTTTTAAGTGTTAATTATAAATATTTTTAGGGAGGAATTTTATATCTTTTAATGTATATTCTATGTGTTTATTAAATGAACGAAGGCTGACTTTCAAAAAAAAATTATGATGCAACTAAAAACGTAATTAACTAACGATGCACGACGTTAGTGTAAATGAAATAAAATTTCAAAAAAAATTAATTTTACCCCTCGTATTATTTTAATAGCTCTTAGTAAAACATAAATAGGTAAGTTTCTGACAAATCTGGAAATATTTTTTTTTGAGCTACCCTCTTTTTCAACTTTATTTGAATTTTAATGTTTTAATTTTGATACATGTTTGCCATAGAAGTAACGATTTATACAACTACTTTTTCGTTCTTTATAATTTCTCCGTGAAAATTACATAAATGATTAATTAGAGCTTATTATTTCTTTAATTTTGTTATTTCCTTTTAAAATTGACATACATTTTTTTTTGTGACGCAATTAATATTTTAAAATTTTTATTACAACTAAAATTTTAATTTTAAGATGATAATATTTAATTTAAATTTAAAGCGTAATGTACAAGACCATTTTTAAAAATCGCAAATTTTTTAATTAAAATTTACAAAAGTCGTAAATTAATATATCTTTTAGTAACAATATAATTATTTCTACTATTCAAGGTATAATAATAGACTTTATTCGTCTAGTATTAAGGTTAAATGTTTAACATTTAACCTTTTTGTTGTTCTTTTAGATTTTATTGATCTTTCATGAGGTAAATATAATGTGCTGATCACGTGATTTAACTGTGTTATAAATCATCGTGTATCATGATGTAATTGGGTTAAATTGTTTTTTTTGTACAAATAGTAAAAATTAATAGAAATAAATAAGGAATAAGCAAAAATATAAATTATTTCTTGTCTCGACTTTTTAAATCATATTATATTGATCAAGCCTTACTTTTAAGTAACTGAAAATGTTATAAATATTCTGTTACTATGGCAAATATTATAAAATTGGCCATTTTTCTGAAAAATTGTATATTTTTTTGCTTCAATAACTCATAACTTCTAGAAATCGAAATTATGGATAGTTTTTAATTTTTATTTCTAAGTATATTATATTACCTTTAATTTAATGTAGATTTTTTGAAACATTATCAAAAATTGAAAAGAAAAAAATGTGGTATGGTTTTTAAGTACTGTATCATCAAGACAAATGTGTCGAGTATTATCAATATAAATTTCCGTTGAGTTTTCAAAGAATATTTCAATATAAAGCTAAAACTAAAAATATCAACTTTGACTGTTTTATAATAACTGTATTGGGACCTTTCTTTTTGAAGGAAATTTTTTTTTTAACTAGAGCATCGATAGCTTCAACTAGTTACGTTTTGTAATTTTTCGAGCAAAATCGGTCTATTATGAGCGAAGTAATCTCGTACACGGATACAAAAAAAAACACTGCAGTTTAAAACCTATAGCTTTTCAGCTCTGCAGCAAACCTAAAATATACATTTAACGTAGCTCAAAACTAAAAATTATTTAAAAAAAAAAGTAATACAAAATATTTGCTGGGTCAAAAGTTTATAAAGATGTTAGAACCTATGGGACCCTATGTACAAAATTCGTAGCGTGGTACAGTTTACTCGAGTTAAATTTTTTCAAAATATATAATTTTTAATCCGTTCATGTTTAACTGTATAGTATACTATATGGTTTAAAAAAAATTTTGTTCGGAATACTATTTTACTATGTGAAATCGACTGCCTAAATAAAAAAATTGTATTTGTTTTTAAAAAAATGTTTTACTTTTAAATTTTGAAAATATTTGAAAACGTGTTCGTCTTTTAAACTTACATTTTTTAATGTGAATAATTTATTTTTAACTTGATAATATGATAAAAAAAAACTATTCTTTTTTTTTGCGGGTTCCAAATTCCGCACCTTGTATTTTTTTCACATGTTTTCCGGTAAACTTTCTTTGACTAGCTGTGCCAATTGGCACCCAAAGTAGGGTTCGAACTCATAACCCTGATATTAAGAATCTCGTGTTCTACTGACTGAGCTAGCTAACCTCAAATGTCAATAGTTTACTTTCTTATAAATATTATCAATAAAAATAAGATTGAATAATATACGTTGTTATAATTAAATAGGCTTTAATTTTTAAAACTTTTATTATTTATAATTATAAGATTAAAATAATAAAAATTATTTTTTATAAAATTTTAGTCGAATTTTAATTGATTCTGGAGAGCCAAATATCCCAGAATATATAAAAAATCTTAAAGAAACTATGGAGAAATACAAATTTAAAATAGAACATATAATTGTATCTCATTGGCATGAAGATCATATTGGCGGCGTAAAAAATATATTAGATATGATTTCTAATAAAAATGGTATATAATTGTTCATATTTTACATAGATTTTAATAACGTAAACATTTATTGCCATGTAATGACGTATTTAGAAACCATACATACTATTAAAAATTTTTCCAATTTTTACTTTTTTTATTGATTATACCTCCATTTAATTTGACATTTATATGTTATTTATAAGTTATCTTCAGTAATTAATAACGTTCTATAATTGCTGATAATTTTCTCTGGAATTAAAATAAGGAACGTATTTAGAAGTTCATAATGGTGGAGAAGAAAGTAAACATTTTGTATTTTAATTTAATTTAATATTAATGCTCATTGTAATTTTTTGCTTCTTAAATATCTGAATGCACTCAACTTCTTTAAAACATTAGACATTTGCCTCAGAGCGTCAATGATGTACTTTTTAAATAATTAATTTGAACTTCTGTACAATTATATTGACTTGATAAATTAATTGTTTTATAGTTAAAAATCTATATTGATACATCGTATTTTATCCTTTCTCGTTATCTTATTAGATTATTAAACAGTTATTAGTTTGCTAAACTTAAATAAGTTATTTTTTATGCATAAATATATGTAACCATGGTTACATTTCTATAGTAGAATATTCGATTCTACTATACTAAGTTACCATAAAAATTATAACAGTAAAATTTAAATCTTAGTTTTATTTTATTATTATATTTTTTTGTAAATAATTTTGTAATAATTTAAATTTTGTTTAGAGTGCAAAGTTTGGAAATTACATCCAGAAAATGAAAAATTACGAGAATATAATTTTCCTATTAATTTTATGAAAGACCACCAAGAGTTTCATACTGAAGGTGCTACATTAAAGTAAGACAAATATAATATAGTATTAATCCTACTTTTTATATAATTTAGAATTTTGAATAATTTGTGAAAACTTATGTATTTTCAATACATTTTTTTTAGTTGTTACATATGAAATACACATTATATTATGCTTGTTTTTAAGGGAAAAGTTTAGGCATAAATAAATAATTGGCTGCCATTATTTATGAAACATTTAATTTTTTAAATCTTATTTAATTTTACTAGTTAATTAAGATAATGTTATCGTTATCATTGCTTCATAAAGTAATCTTTATTTTGTTGACGGATATGTATTTAAAGTTGTACCATAACCTCATAAACTGAATTAAGTTAAATTCAAAACAGTAAAATAATAATAGAAATTTAGTCCAAAATCAGTTAACTTTAAGCTGAAACAGACGAATGGTTGATGGAAAAACTCTTTTGGAAATGACACTGATATAAATCAACAGGGGATTCATTTATCATGAATCATTAAATTACTCACAGTTAAAAATTGTTTGGAATATTTATTTTTGGTTTATATAGATAGATTTAATTCTCAATTTACCAATTATAAAATAATTTATTAGGTCAATCCTTACAAGAATAGGTAATCCTTTTTTCATAAATGTATGGAACTAAAAAGAGCCTCAAAAAAATCGTAGAAAGTATTTTTATTTTATGACTAATTGAGTAGTTTTATAACTACTTTAAATAGAGACATCCTTTACAAATATTTATAATTTTAGAATATATCACACACCAGGGCACACAACTGATCATGTGGTTATATTTTTGGATGAAGAAAAAGCATTATTTTCTGCTGATTGTGTACTTGGAGAAGGTACAACAATTTTTGAAAATTTAGAAGACTACATGAAGTCATTGAATTTAATACTACAATTAAATCCTGCTGTTATATTTCCTGGACATGGATCTGTGATACAAGTAATAATACTTTACTAATTTAAATAAACAAATAAACTTAGTATTTTTTTAAATTTATTGAACAACCCACATGAGATTTTTCTTAAGTGACAATTTCTTATTGATTTTTTTCATCAAACGTCTTTTGTTCTCTTAATTGATGTCCTCAAAAAAATATAAAAAATGCATACAAGCATAATATAAGTTTAGATTAGTTTTTATAGGCATATTTCTCTGACCATTCTCGTAAATAAAATTCACAAGACATGTTTATATTTTTTTAGATATTCTTATAAAATTTTAGGAATTTAAAAAATCTTGTCTCATTTTTAGAACCCAATACGACATGTAAACAACTACATTAGACATAGAGTTGAACGTGAAAAACAAATAATTCAAATGCTTCGTGATCACCCTTTGCAAGCAATGACTAAAAGTGATATAGTTAATAAAATTTATGAGGTAACTTAAAAACATAATAATTATTGGTGTACTATTATATTACTAATATATTTTGTATTTATTAAGGATCGACAATGATTATCAAACATTGATATAATTTTAATATTAACAGTTTTTTTTAATATTTCGATATATATATATATCTCAAATATTTGAATATTTTTAAATTAAAATATAGAAAAATTTAATAGTATAACATCTGCATAAAATATTAGCATTTTTATTTTATCTTTAGATTCCATTAGAAAAATCTAAAATATACAATACAATGTATATCAAATGAAATCTTGTATACTTAATCAATTTACACAAGTCATCTTGTGAGATGCAGTACTACCACATTGGTACGTTGGTAACATATTTCATAGATATTTTAGATAAATAGTTATATTATTACAATAATTTAAATATCCTAAATCATCAATAATTGATACATTGTGATGTTGACGTTGATATATTTCAATATCAAATTGTTTTCCATTTTACTATAAAAGAACTGAAAAAACTGAAACAATGTTAATATGAAAATATATCATAAAAATATAATTGAATACTTCTAGTGTTTATGTTGAATTTTGATTACAAGAATAATATAAAAATATAATACAATTTATATACTCTAGTACAATTTATTTATTTTTAGAGTATTCCAAAAGGATTATTAAAAGTTGCAGATAGAGGTATAGAGCAACATCTTATTAAGTTACAAAAAGATGGAGTTGTAATTAAAATAGACAATGTGTGGAAATTCAATAATAGTTTTAGTTTATAGTTTATCCATTAATATTGTGTGTTACTCTATTTTAGTGTTTTACTAATTTAGTGGTTTTTTGTATAAATTTTTTATTACAGAATTTTAAATTGTTTTTTTTTAAATTATCTGTATTATAAATTAACTAATCACTGTATATTAATAAAGATTGTTGTACTTTATGAATTGTGTTAAACGTTCTTTTGGTGTAACTTTTAGCTTTATACTTTTTCTACCTAAAATTCTGTGTTATTATTTTTGGCTTTTTGGTCATTGGATAATTCTTTTAATTCTAATAAGATTGAAGGTATAGATTATTTATTCTAATTCGAAAATTACTACTTGTTTACATGGAATAATCATACAACTTAAAATGTTGAGATTTTTAAATTAAAGAAAACAATGCAAAAATACAGATCTGGACATAATGCCACCTAACACTTAGCCACAGTCAAATAAATTCATTAAAAAAAAAAAAAGTTGTCGAATCTAATACTTGATATTTTTAAAATTTTTGTTTACTTATGATAATTAAACCTTTTACTGTTGCACCTCATTTTATTTCAATTTTAATTGAAATCTAACTTCTCTCGGCATGTATGTATGTATGATAATAAAGTAACTATTATGATTTTTACTAATTATCGTTTTGTGTTTATAATACCTTTTGTACACAGCCATATGATTAATTTCCAAAGCAATAATTGTTAACCATATTGTCTCCAAGACTTGATTTTTTTTTTTAGTAAACTGAATAAAATATTAGGTGTATTCAATTGTTAGTTAATGATAAAATGTTTTTATTTATATTAAAAAAAAATAAAGTGTTGCTAATAAAAAACTTCCATAATCATTCCTTATTTTTATTGTAACTACTAAACATTTGCTGAAAATGAATAAATTATCAAAGTAAAAATAGTATGGCTGTAAATATATTGCCAGTGTGTGTCAGTTCTGTAAAATTTAAATAATTAATAATCCTTAATCATCTGTTTTACAAGATATAATCGTTAACAATGGGGGTGAAGGTTGAAGTGTTGTAACCGGGGTTATTAAAAAAAACTGTTTAAAACATAAGTAAACAAATTAAAACATTTAATATATCCCATAATACCAATGTAAATTTTTAGTGTTTAAACCAGAATTGACCAAAAAATCCCCAAAAAACATTTATTTTATGAATAAAGCTTCCACTCACTTAAAAAATTCTGTAAATTACACTGAATATTGGATACATTAATCCATAAAACATATATATGTTTAGAAATTAAAATGTTCAAACATTAAAACTATTTAAAATAGATAAAAAATACAAAAATTAAAGTTATTGAAAGTCTATATTTTAGTTATTTTTAATAAAACATTGTTTTAAATTTAAAGTGTTTTCATTTTCACATTCAATCTATTTAACAAAGCATAATATAATATTAAATATTATATTATAAAATTTATAAGTAAATATAAATACAAAATTTTTGATTAAGTAAAAACTTTTTACTTAGATTCTAAGATAAAAGGTTCATATAATGTCGTAAACGGCATTTTGAATATGTGTCAACACTTAATAGTCTTTTAATTTAGATGATAAGATTATATTTTAATAATGTTTTCTGATTTATAAATATTAACTTTGTATTAAGCTGTTATTGCTGTAATCTTAAAATATAAAAGGAGACATGACCACGAAATAAGTGATCAGTACTCATAGTGAACATTAAATTGTAATATTTACTTTGAGTCATATAATCAAAGTCTTTGATTCTTCCTATTGGTACTCTTCTAAGTGGCTGGAAACGGGCGTAGAATACTCTGCGTCACCACAATAATATAAAATTACTTATTTATAATAAAATATAAATTCAATAAAGGGTTTTAGGTTTTTATAAAAAAATCAATAAAAATTACCTTTACTGGGTTTTATTAAAAAATCTTAGATTTTTACCAACATTTTAATAAATTTATATATAAAGAGTCCGGTAGCAAAATATCCTAGACCCGCAAAAATATCAACTGTAGAACGTTTTGATATTATCAAAATTAAAAAAAACCCAGCACAGGAGGATAGCGGCATACTTGGGTCAAGTATAATGATATCTGACAGTGATTAAAATTACTATCATAAAAAACGCTTCGATGCAAATCTTTAGATAGTGTTTAATTTAAAAAAATTGGTGGATTATTCCAAAAGCTACAAGATTTGCTATTTCCTTTTTTATATCCTGATTAAGATAAAGTATGTCGAATTAAAAAGGGATATAAATATTATTTCTCATAAAATAATTGTAATGATCCATACATTTTTTGAAAAGATATAGAAATATAAAGTTAATAATGTAAAGTATAAAATATAATATCGAGAATTTTCACACAATAATAGCATTCGGTAGCCATTTTCACCGTGAAGACAAAATAAAGTCCGAAATTTTTTTTTTTCCATAATAAAATACATTACATTAGCTTTAATTTAAGATATATATAAATGCGTCAGACCTTCCGGAACACTTTCAAAAGTTAAGTTGAAAAAGTTGTCATTTTAAATCCCCCCTGTGGGCAGGTAAAGAGTCAAATTTATAAAAAAAATATACCAAATGATAGGTAAGGACATCATGCATTTATAGAAAAAAAAATATATTGATATGTTCATTTTTGAAAAAGTTACGGCAGTTTTTAATAAAAAAAATTTTGAAAATTAGCGATTTTTAAATTTGTAATTTTTTTGGAGGTTTCCCCCAATTACGGGGAACGAGGGAAATTTTTTCAATTTTGAAGGGTAATGTCTTCGACTAGATACGATTTGTGATCTTTTGACGTATCGTTGAAAGAAATCCGTTCGGTAAGAGCTGAGAAAAAGTGGTAACAGACACAAAAAAAAAAAACACATCATAGTAAAACCAATACCTTCTCAGCTTTGCATCGAAGCTAAAAAGTTAATGATGTGTATATTATATTTTTTTTTTGTGGCATTGACGTAGTCAAAAATCATTATTCGGGAAACTGATAATTTTTCCATAAATATGTCGAAAAATACTCAGTTGATGTCTATCAGCTCATTTTTGTAGACCCAAAGTTGATTTAGCCATTTAGCATAGCGCTTATAGCTACATTTTTAAAATCTATTGTAGCGACCAAAACATACGCAACGAATATTCTCGAATGTTCTCGTTATCAAAAACCTTCGAGAAACTTCGATAACGCCATAAGATAACCTACGCGGGTATAGAATATTCTAGAATTAGCGAGAGCCTTATCGGAGCTATATATATATCGGAAGAATCAGTCAGTTCAGTTAGTTCAGTTCAGACTGTCTAGTCCGCGATACGCTACACGACCGCTACACCCCGCCGCTGTTGTCATCGTGTATTATGTTTACTTCGATTATTTTATTTTTCCTTACTGTATATACATATATTTTCTTTTAGTGTTTATACGTCTATTTTAGTGTTATAATTTTGTTTAATAAAAGTCTACCGCCATTTAAATAATTGTGTGTTGTAAGATATAACCCACACTATATTTTAGAAGAGAGATATTCTGTAGTTTTCTCATCTATTTGCTAGCTAAGTCACTACCTTTTGATTTGAGCATTTCGAAACTCAATTAATTATTACCTTAATAATAATGGAATATTTTTCTATTGTCTGAAAAATGATAAATTACGTGAATTTGTAATAAAGCGATATATTACCATATAGATTTCAAATTCAATTTAAGGGAATCCATATAAAACTTCGATTTTTCTTTTAAAATATTTTAATTTTAAAGTGGACTTTAGACCACCATCTTTTAAAATACTATAATCTAACATTAAATTTTTTGTGATCTAAAAACTAATTCAAAATTTTTGACTTAATGATAAATTATTTTCTAAGAGAGCTATTTCAAGATATCAATGTCTCTAAGATGTAAAAATTTGAAACATTTTAATTATTTGTTTTTCATTAGTCAATTGCTCAAATTAATTTTAAAATATCAATATTTAAATTATTATAATAATACTCAAAAGAGTAATTAAAAAAAAAAAATTGCCATAGAACTTTTTAGTTCTCAAACTGCTATTCGTCTTTGATCTTCAAATTTGAAATTTGGTAATCTAGTTGTCCGGAGATCTAGTTGTGAAAGGTTTATTGTACATCTACCTAAATTTATCAGTTAATACAATATCACTGCAATAAGTTTTTAGTAAACTGATAATGATAACAGCATTTATACTTTAAATCAAATTTTAGGTGAAATCTCGGGGCTCTATTTTATTATTTAAAGAATTATAAATTTTAATTATTATAATCTGAGCACAATTAACGTCTCGAACATGAATAATAGTAATAACTCTTCCACCAGTCTAATGACTGTGGATAAGCCGGAACAAAACGAAACTGAATTTAAGTGTACAAATGGTGTGGAAAATTTATCAAATGTTCGAAATTTAAAAGATTTATTGAAGGTTTCAACACAAATGACAAGTGCTAAAAACGAAGAATGTGCTTTAAATTCGAATAGAGAATTTCTTGAAGAGGTAAATATTTATACTGTAAATTTTTTGATTGAAAATGTTCTATGTTACATTGGTTAAGATTAATCAATTTGATTATACAGTTGACAATATTGCATTGTATCTGTTTAATAATCTATAAACTAGATGCTCAATAAGAGTAACTTTTTATATTTAATATTAATTCAAGACTAATTTCGAAATTTTAATCAGAAAAAAAAATTTCTTGAAAATGTTCTGTCTACAATGTCTGTAAATGTGCACGAAGAAATGAATAATTCAATAAATATATTGTTAGATGTTAATAAGAGTGTAGAAGAATATGAATATGCATTTGATGTCATTGAAGAGTTTATTGAAAATATTGATTATGCCAATGGTAAGTTTGTTATATTTTAAGTTTTCTTCTCTTTAAGTAATAACAATAGATAAAGTAATAGCTAATTAATAATGTTTAAATTCTTTAAATTTTGCTGTGTCGCATAAATTCGGAGTTATTTTATACAGTTAAACATTTTTTTCTTTTAATATTTTATGAAAATATTGGAGTAAAGTACTAATAAATTTATGTAATCATATTTTTAAACACTTTTACACTTAATTGATTTTGTTATTTTTACTTAGTTAATTAAGAATTTTACAGTTTTAATATTTTGATAATATTATTTATGGTCAATAATTATTATTAGTATAAAATATTTGGTTTTTGATTAAAGCAATGTTTATTTGTAGATTTTCAAAAACTTGGAGGATTTCAAGTTTTTATTCCTGGTTTAAAATCTTTACATTCAACAGTAAGGTGTAAAACAGCTGAATTAATTGCAACTCTTGTACAAAATAATCCTTATTGTCAAGATAAATTTATGGAAGAATCTAGTTATATTCAACTATTAATAAGTATAGTACAAACAGATTCAACTGATGAAGTACGTGTTAAAGCGTTACATGCACTGTCAGGTAAAAAGAGAAAAATTTCCAAAAATATATAAGATAACTAGTAGTGTTTGAAACTCGGAAATTGTAGAAAAATTATGATATGAACTGAGAATCAAACCTAGTTCTCCACTTTCCAATAAGAGCTTTCTCACTAAGCTACATGTCAGATATAGAACAGCATTCAACAAGTAATGATCTAAATCTATTTGGATGGCGTTTGCCCAGACGTTTTATACGACTTATGATTATATCTAAAGAAATATTGTTAATTAAATCATTAGCAATCATACAAAAGAATTCATTAGTTTCATTAAGCGTTTCAATAATAATATTATAGAGGATTACATTTTTGCTTTAAAGCCTATTTGATGCTTCAATGATTATTTCATCAGATATTGGGTTAATATTTGGGCTATTCATGGATTCCAACAAAGAAATTTAATTCACATAATAAGTTAATATCAGTTTTTAAGGCATACAGATTTATACTTAATGTAATTTATAGTATAGTTTTCTAATCATCTGTGAGTAAACACAGTATTCACATCAAACAATGCTTCCTTATGAACAAAATTTTATGTATATGATAAATACAATACATTTTAATATCTTTAAGGCAAAAGTTATGTTACATAATTTTATACTATGATCGGCTGATTTTATTTTGCAGATTTTTTTATGATTTCTGGAACAACTCTTTAGTTTGGGGTACTAAGGCATTCAGCATCATCAATATTTGTACGGCCACATTTAGACTTAACAAAGTACTTCTTTATCATTTGCCTTGATAGGTCCGAGTATGAGAAAAACTTATCCAGCCATTGTTTCCATTGAATAGTATTTTTTCTAATTAATAAATAATGCTTTATCAACACACATAGAATTTAATTTTTTTTATTTTGTTTTGAAATTTATAAAAAGTGTTATCACCAAAATAACTATAACTTGTGAATTAAAAGTCGTATTGATGTAAAATTTTTATATGTGTCATTTGAAGGTCAGTACATTCTAAAAAAATAGGTTTGACAATAATGATCATATCTTACATTTATCCTATGAACTTGTTGAGTGATGTGTTAAGTATTGTAGGCTGCTGTTCTTCCAACCCTAAAATCCTGGATACGCTATTCATGATAATTATTTATTAGTTTTATATCTCATTAATATGTTTGTAGGCCTTGTTCGACAAAATGTAAATGCATTTTGGAAGTTTATTGGTTATGGAGGCAACAATTTAATTTTGGAAGCTTTGAAGTCTTCATGCAATAAATTGAAAATTAAAGCTGTATTTTTAGTGTATTCAACCTGTCATATGGGGAATGATATTGCAGGTAGTATTTATTTAGGATTGCTTTTTCATGTAATGAATAATCATAAAGTGTACTTATAACATAAATAATAAGCAGTTATCTACTTAAAGGTACATATTGTAAACAATTTATTATTATCATCCTTAATAACGAAATCGATGGTCGGCGACCTATTCTTTACCTGTCTTGACTGATAGTCGTCAGTTAAGACTAATTGAGAATTCGTACGTGGGTGACGTCGCGTCACCGTAGTGTATATTCTTTTATTTTTAGTGTAATTGTAGTTTTTTTAATTTTGTGCATTGTTATTAAGTTGAGAGCTATATTATATGTGATTAGTCTTAATTTATAAATCGAACACTTGTGTCATTACTTAATTTTATCCTCGCTTCAAACCATTTAGTCAGAGGTTAACAATTTTTCAGAAGTGAAATTACCGCTATACACCCAGAGAAAAACCTCGATCTATATAATAAATTCATTGTTCAATTTGATAAATATATCATTACTATTGAATCTATGATATATTTATCAATATGATAATTTTTTTTCTTGTCTTGAACAATAATTATTTATAAGAATAATTATTTTGTTTGTATTAATAGAATATTATCATAAATCCTTGATAAAATTTCTCTATCAAAATTGATTGAGGTTTTTCTTTGGGTGTATTATATACGTTTGAGGTTGCATTTAAAAAAACATTCGTCGGAGAATTATTATACGCGCAAAGATTTGCTAAAATGCTTGAAAGGGTACAAAATAGAGACGAAACGGTAAATGCTTATTTTCACGCCAAAATGCGTGTTTGTCAGCCTCTGAAATTCGACTTTGGTGACATTAAGGAAAATATTATGATAGGCCTAGTCATCAAAATAGTGATGAATTATTGAGTGATATTGTAAAACTCGATCGTGTTGACAAAAACGCATCTGAAAGAGTTCCATGACGTGTCAGGTCGTCTGATCCGTTTACCAACAACCGAAATTTGTTGTCGTCTGTACGTCCGTCGAACGAAACATGGCGTACGTCGTTTGAATTGTCGTTTAGTTTAGTTAGTTTTATCTCACGATCGGTTTCCGGGAATCGACCACCTGAAGGCTGGGCGTAACAATTTACAATTTTTTAGCTGCCGAGCTTAAACGGCCGACAAGGTGTCCGTGAGTGTCCAGAGCCACGGCGAACATAAGTTAGTGCTACTAATCGTTTTGTGAACTCGACCAACTCGGCGAGTCAAAATTCTGTTCAATCAGCAGTGGGATCTGTGATTAATATTGTGGATACGGGAGCATACATACCGTGTATATAATTCATGATAACATTTTTAGAATAAATGATAAATTTGATGTTCAATGTTTAATTTATACTGGATCGTCTTCGTGTTTAATTTAAAGTGGGTCTAAAAACAATAAAATTATGTGATAACACTATGATTTGAAGCGTTGGCCCTAGTTACGACTGTTGTTGGTAAAATAAAATTGAATGTGATGATCAAAACTGTAACGTTCTTATGGCTCACTATTTTAGGGGCTCGGACTACCAAAATATTTTTATAGGCCTCCTCAGATTGATGATTTGTTTGTATTATTATCATAAGTTAGGCTCTCCAGTCGTTTTTCTATAATAGATTATTCTATCACCTAAACATTTTACCTTGTTATAGAATTTTTATAGCTTAATTATATAAGGAATAATAACTTAATTTGAAACAAACCTAGCATACTCGAGAATTCCGTAAAAAGTTTTCAATCTCTATTATCATCATTTTCTGTGCTAAACAAAGTAATTATTTCAACACTAGCTATTCGATTTTTTTAAATTTCATCTAAATCAAATAATATACATTTATTATTCAATTTTTCGTGATAATTTCAAATCAGCAATTATATTTTTTCTATCACCAATAATTTTTGATATTATTTCTAATTAATGAAAAACTATAGGATATAACTTGAAAGAAAATAGTTCTTAATATTTCAATTGTATCATCTATTTAAATACCAAAAGTTACATAGAAATTATTAAAAATTATTTAAAATTATTTATAACGATAAAAAACTAATTAAAAACACAAAAAAATTATTACAGATTTTGATTTTTAATATGTTAAAATTAATCAGTACAAAATATCATTTTTAACCTATTTTGTGATTTTTTAAAATTGATTTTTTGAAAGTTTATAATAAAATACCTTTTCAGCTTCTCATCGAAGCTAAAAAAGTTTGTTACCATAACTTTTAGCCTAACTTCAATTTTGAAATTTACATTGTTAAATAGAAAATTTTATGAGAATGAAAAATTAGTATTTTTAAGATTAATATGGAGTTAGGAAATTGTATAATTACTATTTACCGTATATTTATCAAAAAAGCTCAATATCTTTTTTGTATTTTTATTGTAATAGATCACTCTAATCGAAATCATAGTAATCATGTAACAGTAATTTTTGATGTTTAAAAAGATTCTACAATTGAAATATTCAGATCTTAATTAATTTTAATGATTTAGTTTAACTAAAAAACCGATCAAAATGTTGTTAAAAAAATCTACTCAATTGAGTGTATTATAAAATTTGATTATGATTGTTAAAATTTTTTGTTAAATTCAGTTGAAACTAACAATCATTTTTTTTTGCGATTTATAATTTATATGGCAACATGTTACCAAAAAATTTGGACTATTATAGACTGTTAGTAACACACACGAATAAAGTTAAAAAATTAATATATTACAAAGTACAATTATTTAATTTTGTAGTTGAAACATATTACCATTTCAAACCTAATTCGACAATAAATACTATAAAAACATTAAAAATTAATGATTTTAATTGTCCATATAGAGAATGTTGGCTAAGGAACTTTAAATTGATAAAGTAAAAATTTATCAATTTTTGAGGGTATATTTAGCTATATAATAGTTTATAATAGTAGATCATTTGATGTATTATTAAAAAAAATGAGAGCTGAAATAATAAATGAGAGCTATAAAAAAAATCACATAGTAAAAAACTTTAATATGAATAAGAAATTTCTTCAAACGAGGGGACACTACAGTGATGGGGTCCTTGATATTCACTAAAGTTATAGAATCTAAATGAGTTAAAATTTTTTTTTTAACTCAAAAACTTTTTAAATTTTCTTAAAATAAAATAAAAATATAAAATCGAGAATTTTAACACAAAAATAGCATACGGTAGCCATTTTCACCATGAAGACAAAATATAGTCCGAAAATTTTTTTTCCATAATAAAGTATATTATATTAGCTTTAATTTAAGATATATATATATATGTATAAAAGTGTCAGTATTTCAGGAACACTTTCAAAAGTTAAGTTGAAAATGTTGTCATTTTGATTCCTCTGCTGTGGGCAGGTACGGGTCTGATTTATGAAAAAATATATAAAATGATAGGTAAATATCTCACGTATCTATGAAAAAAAATTATATTGATTTGATCTTTAAAAATTTTATGGCAATTTTAAGTAAAAAAAATTGAAAAAATGTCGAAAATTAGCGATTTTTAAATTTGTAATTTTTTTGGAGATTTCCCCCATTTACGGAAGACGACGAAATTTTTTTAAAGTTTGAGGGTACTGTCTTCGACTAGATACAATTTGTGATCTTTTGACGTATTGTTGAAAAAAATCGGTCCAACAAGAGCTGAGAAAAAGCTTATATTTATTTTAATTTAAACAATTCTCCCAAATTGACACTGATATTTAAGGGTTTTAAGTGATATTAAATTGGAAAAATAGAAATCTTAGACTCTATGAAAATTATTTTTAAGCTACTCAAAAAATTAAATATTTTTATTTTCTCATATTTCCTTTTATATATATAAAAATGTTATAAATTTCAATATAAAAAAACCCAGCACAGTGGAGACGTGCCACAGATTTCATTTTCAAAAGTTCTACTTTTTATTCGCATGTTTTAAATTTTAAACGCTATATGTATAAGGGAAAGGTTTCAGAATTTCGAAAGAACGATGTCTGATATAAAAAATATTTATAAAAAATCCAGCACAATAGGGTCGCGGCACAGTGGCGACATGTCATAGTCGGGTCCAGTATAGATTTAATCTGACAGTGATTAAAATCACTATCATAAGAAACGCTTCGATACAAATCTGTTAATAGTGTTAAATTCTAAGAAATTGGTAGATAATTATAAAAGTAACATCGACTACTATTTCCTTAATTATATCCAGATTAGTAATTCTTTTACTTATATATTATATAATTTTTATAATTAATTGTTTTCAAATTATTATTGATTTTGATTTTTAATGTGTTAAAATTAATCATTTTTAACCTACTTTTTTTTGTTCTTTAAAGTGAAAGCTTATAATTGAAAAAAAAATGAATTTATTAGCAAAACTTTTAGTTCAACATACAAGTTTGAAAATGACATCATTAAATAAAAAAATGGTATTGTTATGATAAATATGCAATCAGGAAATTTTATAATTACTATTTACAGTAAATTTTTTATTTCATCCATTGTTAAATTCAGGTGAAACTAAAAATCATTTTTTTTTTAGATTTATGATTTATATAGCAACATGTTACGAAAAAATTTGGAATTTTATAGACTGGTAGTAGCATACACAAATAGAGTAAAAAAATTAATAAATTTAAAAGTAAAATTATATAATATCAAAACTAATTAGACAATATACTTTAAAATTATTAGAAATGAATGATTTTAATTGTTTGTATAGATAAAGCTGGTTAAGTTATTTGTTATTTGATTAAAGGATTTTTTTTTATTAATTTTTGAGGGTAATATCTTCAACTAAATACGAATTGTAATCATTTGACGTATCGTTGAAAAAAGTAGGTTAAGTGAGGGTTGGAAAAATAAATCGCGGCCTCAAAAAAAAACGCATAGTAAAATAATATTAACATAAATAAAAAATTTCTTCTCACGAGGGGACACTATAGTGATGGGATCCTTTATATTTATTGAAGTTATTGAATCTAAATGAGATAAATATCAAATGATTTGAAAATTTTATTTTAACACAAAAAAAAAATGCAAAATAATAAATGCCACAGATGGATTTGAATCTCGTACTCTAAGTATGATAGCCACAAGTATTACCGATTCGGCAACTGTTCGTTGCTTTCGTCGCATTATAAAATAGGCTATTTAAGCTAACTCAAATGTAAAAATTACTTTTTCGACTTTAAAAAGTAAAAAAATTTTAATAATTTTAATTTCTTATGTCTTATGAACTTTATTCTATGTCAATTAAATTATATAATATTCATGAAAGTTAGTGTATTCCCCTAATAAGATATTTTAAAATAAAATAAAAAACAAAACCCAGGATTTTAACACAAAAATAGCATATTTTTGAATACGTTAGCCATTTGCGCATAGAAGATAGGTCGGGACAAATTTTTTTTTTAATTTTATAGTACATAAAATAAGCTTTAATTTGATATATGTTTAAAGAATGTTGTATTTCCGGAACATTTTTAAAAATTAAGTTGAAAAAGTTAGTTTTTGTAAAAAAGTTGCTATTTTAAATTCCACCCAGGGAACAGGTTAAGTGTTAAATTTTTAAAAAAATGATATCAAATTAAAGGGAAATATCTAAGATTTTAGTATAAAAAAAATGATGTTGATTTGTTATTTTTGAAAAAGTTATTGAAGTTTTAAGANAAAAAATGATGTTGATTTGTTATTTTTGAAAAAGTTATTGAAGTTTTAAGAAAAAAATGTCAAAATTTACTGATTTTTAAATTTGTAATTTTTTTGAAGATTTCCTCCATTTGCGAGGAACGAGGGAAAATTACGAGGGTAATGTCTTCAACTAGATACGATTTGTGATCTTTTGACGTATTTTTGAAAGAAATCGGTCCAATGAGAGC